ATCAGTTTTTCTGCTGCTCCTCCACCCAAATCTCAGACCTTATTCCGCTTCTCTTATGGTATCAGAGCACGGCGCCACTCAGGCAGCCTGATCCAGCTCGGAGCAGCAGCTTTTAAGTCACAATGAGTGGGAATGAAGAACAACCCATTACTGGGTCAGCAGCACATTCAACTTCAAGTGCAGCGGCTACAGATTCTACACAAGCTATTCTACCCTCTGCAGATTTCCAGTTCGGTAACCCCTTTTATCAAAACCCTAATGAGAATCTTTCTCAATCCATCGTGTCTGAAGTTCTAGATGGTAGTAACTATCAAATGTGGGCTAGATCTTTTCGGATTGCTCTCAAAACCAAGTATAAGCTTGGGTTTATAGATGGTTCTGTTCAAATCCCTGATCCTAGGACAGATCCTAATGGTTATAGAGCATGGGACGCTTGCAATACTGTTGTCCTTTGCTGGATTATCAATTCTCTGCACAAGGACATTAAGCGAAGTGTCCAGAGTCATGAAGTCGCACAGAATCTGTGGGAGGAATTGAGAGACAGGTTTGGTCAAGCTAATGCTGTGAAACTGACCAATTTGGAAGATGAAATTCATGCTTGTAAGCAGGGAAACCTGACCATAACTCAGTATTATACATTGATGAAAGGGTTATGGGAGGAATACTCTAAGTTCAATCCAATAGTACCTTGTACTTGTGCCCCAGGACAGGTTCTCCCATGTCCAGCTGTGGAAGCCTTTAAGGCAAAACAAGAAACAGATTACCTTGTGAGATTTGTGAGAGGAGTCAGTCCTGCATATGATGTTGTGAAGACTCAGCTTCTCATGATGAAGCCTCTTCCAACTGTTGTGGCAGCATATGGGGACCTTCTCCAGCATGAACAAAAACTAAAGTCTGACAAAGGAAGGAACACACAGTCAGTGGCACTTGCATCTTATGGCAAACAAGGGAATGACAGTACTGCTGCAAGACAGTCAACAAAACAAGGAAATGCAGGAGGAAGTGAAACTGGACTGTTTTGCAGGTACTGTAAGAAAACAAATCACAATATAGAAGACTGCTGGAAGTTAAAGAGGAAGAACAAGGAACAAGGTTCTGGATCACACTTTGCTGGGGCAGTAAATGAATCTGAGGATGGTATGCTTGAGACTCAATCAAGCAGTGGAAGTGGAAGTGTCAACTCTGGAGGAAGTGGCAACAACTCTGCCAGCACTGTTAACCTTCAGCTGACTGGAGATGAAATGAATCGACTCAGGTTCTTGCTTCAAGGAGTGACTACTAGTCCTTCACCCTCTCCATCACCACCACACTCACCAAACATTCGTCATGCAGCTTTTTCAGCAGCACAACAGATGCCACAATTTCCTAATGCAGCTGGTAAATATGTTCTCACCTCATATGTTCATTGTCATTCAGCCTCACTTGTTCCAACATGGATTTTAGACACTGGTGCCTCAGACCATATCATTTGCTCTAAGAATTTCTTTACCACATGCAAACCAATACAGGGAGTGTCAGTTTTCTTACCAAACAGCACCAAAGTCTTAGTCACACACATTGGATCAGTTAGGTTGCCATTAGGAATCCTGTTGAACAATGTTTTGTTAATTCCCAGTTTTACTTTCAATCTTGTGTCAGTTAGTAGATTGACACATGATCTACCAATTTCCCTCACCTTTCAATCTGACTCTTGTGTTGTCCAGGACCTAGTAACCAACAGGATGATTGGCTTGGCAAGGCAAAGTAGGGGTCTATACCATTTAATGTCCAGTTTAGAGAGTGAAATCACACCTTCAGTAGCTTCAGTCTACAATTTCCAACCTTAGAAGATTAACCTTTGGCACTGGCGTTTAGGGCATCCTAGTTCCAAGAAGATACAGTTGTTAAAGCTTTATAATCCCATAGTTAGACATGAAACAGTGAAACATTGTGATGTCTGTCATTTTTCTAAACACAAGAGATTGCCTTTTATTTTGAGTGAACATAGAGCAAATGATGTCTTTGATTTGATCCATGTGGACATATGGGGGCCTTTGGCAGTTGAATCATATGATGGTTTTTCTTATTTCCTCACTGTGGTTGATGATCATTCTCGTGCTGTGTGGACTATTCTTATGAAACACAAATCAGAAACCATGTCTTTTCTACAGAATTTCTGTGTCATGGTGAAGAATCAGTTTTCTAAATCTGTAAAGACTATAAGAAGTGATCAAGGTAGGGAGTTTCATATGACTGAATTCTATGAAGAACAAGGAATAGAGCACCAAATGTCCTGTGTAGCCACCCCAGAACAGAATGGGAGAGTTGAAAGGAAACATCAGCATATATTGAATGTGGCAAGAGCTTTAAGGTTTCAATCTGGTATCCCTCTACAGTTTTGGAGTGATTGCATACTTCATGCAGTGCATCTAATAAACAGGTTGCCTACCCCTATCCTAGATAACAAGAGTCCCTTTGAACTACTATACAAACAGCCACCTCCTCTTGATCACTTGAAGGTTTTTGGCTGCTTAGCCTATGCTTCTACCTTGAGCAGTGGTAGAACTAAGTTTCAGCCCAGAGCAAGACAATGTCTCTTCCTAGGATATCCTTTTGGCATCAAAGGGTATAAACTCTTTGATCTGACTTCCCATGAAGTGTTTATGTCCAGGGATGTGACATTTTATGAAGATATTTTCCCTTTTCATGGGCTGGTTGATGATTCAGATGACACACCAGTCTTCCCTGATTTACCTACAGTCATCTTTCCTGATGTCCAGGCTCATGGGGGCCAACCTACTTCATCTGCTCCTATCCCATCAACCTCAGTTGATGAATCTTCTTCTCCTTCTTCTTCTCCTTCCCCACAGCCTTCACCTCATCACTCACTGACAGAGGAAGACCTCTCAACAGATGAAGACTTTGCTGATGCTGAGCCTGACTATCAGGAGGAATCTGATGATGATGAATTGTTACCAGGAGATGAACTGGATGACAATGATCTTCCTCCTAGAAACAGAAAGCCACCTGTATGGCACAAGGACTATGTCACAACCATTAATCAAATTAGTCAATATTGCATGACTAATTATGTTTCTTATCATCAATTTACACCTCAACAGAAGAGGTATGCAATGAGTCTTGTTGCTTTTATGGATCCTCAGTCATACAAGGAAGCAGCCAAGGAACATCATTGGGTGAAAGCTATGGAAGAGGAGTTAAATGCCTTGACTGAAAACCACACTTGGGATCTGGTGACTCTGCCATCAGGGAAAAGAACTATTGGCTGCAAGTGGGTGTTCAAAACCAAACTTAAACCTGATGGATCTGTTGAAAGGTATAAAGCAAGGTTAGTTGCTAAAGGATTTACTCAAATCTATGGCATTGACTTTCTTGATACCTTTTCACCTGTTGCTAAAATCAATACAGTTAAGACATTGTTAGCTGTTGCAGCAGCTAGGAACTGGTGTTTACATCAAATGGATGTCTCCAATGCATTCTTGCATGGAGACTTGGAGGAGGAAGTCTATATGACTCCACCTCCTGGATTGGAGGGAAGTGAAGGTAAGGTCTGCAGGCTTAGGAAATCCTTGTATGGATTAAAACAGGCCAGTAGGCAGTGGTTTGCCAAACTGACCTCTTCATTACTGAAGAATGGTTTTTCTCAGTCATCTTCAGATTACTCCATGTTCACAAAGAGGGTACAAGGCAGGATGGTCATTCTACTTGTATATGTAGATGACATCATTTTGGCAGGTGAAAAGCTTGATGACCTTGAACTGGTGAAGCTCTATTTGAAAAGAAGTTTTAAAATCAAGGATCTAGGAACTTTGAAGTACTTCCTGGGACTTGAGATTGTGAGGAATGCTGATGGAATTGTAGTTAATCAGAGAAAGTACTGCACTGAGTTGCTTGGGGACACTGGTTATGAGGATGCAAAGGAGACATTGACTCCTATTGATATGAAAGTGAGACTGAGCTCAAGAGAAGGGACTCCCATTGATGATCCAAGGAGCTATAAGAGATTGATTGGAAGGTTACATTACTTAACCATAACCAGACCAGACATATGCTACACAGTGCAGCAGTTAAGTCAATTTCAGCGTAACCCTCTTGACACACACATGTAGGCAGCACAAAGGGTTCTAAGATACCTGAAGAAATCTCCAGGGCAAGGGATTCTGTTCAGCAGCAACACAGACTTCACCATCACTGGTTACAGTGATTCAGACTGGGCAGCATGCCCAGATACCAGGAGATCAATCACATGTTTTTGCACATATTTTGGGAATTCATTACTTACCTGGAAAAGCAAGAAGCAGACCACTGTGTCAAGGTCTTCTTCTGAAGCAGAATATAGAGCTTTGGCTCACTTGGTCTGTGAAATACAATGGTTGAAGGGACTGTTATCAGAGTTGGCAGTTCAAGTAAGAACTCCTATTACTGTCTACTGTGACAACAGGTCAGCAATTCATATTGCTGAAAACCCTGTTTTTCATGAGAGAACAAAACATATCGAGATAGATATGCATGTTACTAGAGAAAGAATTAAGACTGGCATGATTAGGCTGTGTCATTTGCACACTTCAGATCAACTTGCTGACATTTTTACTAAGGGAGTCAGCAAGTACAGGCTGCTGGAGTTGCTTGGCAAGATGGGAGTTATTGATGTTTACTCGCCATCTTGTGGGGGCCTATTGGAGGGTCAGCAAGGAGCTGACAGTAGAAGGACAGCAGCCACTACAGTTCTGCACTGCAATCCTGATCAGACAAGGATTCAATCTCAATATCAGAACGAAGGACTAAAATGGAGAAGAATGGAAGTTTGGAACTGATATGGAACTTTCATATGCGCTGCCGTTTTGTTCTTTATTCTTTGAGATTGTTTAGTGCAGTCTGTTGGTTAATAACGAATCCAAATCTGGCACGTGTTAAGCTTTGGTTAATGGATTTCGTATGACCGTTAATACTGTGTATTAGCCGTTGTGCACCATTATAAAAGAGAAAACCCTAAAGAGAGGACAGCAGTTTTTCTGCTGCTCCTCCACCCAAATCTCAGACCTTATTCCGCTTCTCTTAATGGGTGGAACTAAAATCTCTGACCCAGCAGTTTGAAAGAAGGGAAGGCTCCAGTTTTGTCAAATCGATTCGAGAGAGACCATCATACAGATCGAAAATACTCCCTTTTTTTCCCTGTACGAGCGAGCGAGCTCCATGAATGCGCTACGGTTCAGCTGCCGGCAGCTCCAGCAATCCGGCCGTGCCACTTCCAAAGCCATAACAGGGGTTGCCTCCTTCAGTGCCTACTGTAGAAGTAGAACTTCCCCTCCCGCTCTTTCTTCGGCTTCACCCGACTCGTTGGCCAGTAGGGTATGGAGGTCAGGCCATCCGTCAATCTCCATTGTTAAGGTGATCGAGCAATGGCTCGACGAAGCCAAACAAGTGAAGCAATCTGAACTCCAGCAACTCATCAGGGACCTCCGCCGCCACCGCCGCCAACACCAAGCTCTCCAGGTTTCTTCCAATCTTTTTCTTATAGCTGATTTTTCGCCCATAATCGAATGTTATACGAATTTCGATTCTTTTCCTCTGTAAAAAAGAAAGTTAGTGGCTTTCAGTGCCGAGATTCTGCTTTCAATCGAGAATTCATGAGAACTTTGGGGTTGGCTCTAGTGGTACTGTGGCTCCATTGGATTCTGTTAGGTTTTCCCTTTAAGCAGCATATTGGATACTGTGGTGTTAGTAAAACGTTGTTACAATCTGCTATAAAGATCCATACTTTCGAAGGGTTCTGTTCTGTTGGGTCTAATCTCATGAGACTTTCTTTGTGGTTCCAATCAATGAACCTTTTGAATTTGTATTTCGTTTGTTAGTTATCGGAATGGATGAGGGATCAAAGCTGCTACAATGATTCTCCTGGAGACATTGCTGTTCGTTTGGATTTGATCTCAAAAGTCCGAGGCTCGGAGCAAGCAGAGCAAGCATTCGAAGCCATTCCCGAAAACATGAGGAACTTCCAAGTCTATGGCGCTCTCTTAAACTGCTACTCGCGGAAGAAATGCGTGGAGAAAGCAGAAGCCACCATGGACAAGATGAGGGAGTTGAATTTTCTAAAAGCCCCACTTCCATATAACGTAATGCTGACACTCTACTTCCACACTAAGAACCACGAGAAGCTCGATGCCCTAGTGAAAGAAATGGAAGAAAACGGCATTGCTTGCGGTATCTACACCTACAACATCCAGTTGAATGCTTATGGTGCAACTTCCAGGTTTCAGGAAATGGAGGAACTTCTGGGCAAGTTGGAAAGAGACACAGTTGCCACGGTGGACTGGCATTCTTATTTCGTTGGGGCTAGTGCTTACCTAAAAGCTGGAGAGAAGGAAAAGGCAGTGGCGGTGATGAAAAAGCTGGAAGGGTTAGTTACTCACAACTCCAGGAAATTCTGCTATGAAGTTCTTATCACTTTGTATGCAAATGCTGGGGATTTGGAACAGGTGTGTCGTATATGGGATCTGTACAAGCAAATGGGGAAGATTTTCAACTCGGGTTATCTATGCATGATAAGTTCGCTCCTGAAGTTGGATGAAATTGCTAGAGCTGAAAATGTCTGGGAGGAATGGTTATTGAAGAAAAGATTATATGATGTTCGAATAGCGAATCAGATGGTCATAGGTTATTCGAGGAAAGGTCTCTGGCGGAAAGCTGAGGCACTTGTGAGCCAAATAACAGAGAATGGTGGAAATCCAGATGGAGTCACATGGAACTGTTTGGCTGTAGGATATTGTGTTGGTGGGAAAATGGACGATGCGGTAGCAGCATTGAAGGAAGCAGTAACTGTAAAAATGCCGGTTGGACATAAGCTGAAGCCTGAAACTCGTACTATGGCTGCTTGTATTGAGCATTTGAAAAGTCAGGGGGAGATAGAAGCAGCAGAAGAGTTTTTGGAGAAAGTTGCAGAGGATTGTCACTTTCCAGTCGCTGCTCTGAATAGGTTGGCAGGTTACTTGAAAGATGAAAGCCAGAACGCCCTACCTCTGGACGAGATGGGAGCCGATATGCCGACTCTCGGTGATAAAGAAACAGCACAGTAGCCATGGGGTTCAAGCAGTAGGATAGCATCAAATAAATGACTATGTGGTCCTCGGGCTGAACTCATAGTTGGATTGCAGAGGACATCGGCAGTGGGCAGCGGCTGTAGTTTTGAATTGAGGTCTAACTTTGGTATGGTAGCCTGATTACAAATCATCATCTTATTATATAAACGTGTATTCAGCTAGCATCATTCAAATTTTACGATAAGATGATGATTTATGTCAAATTATATACCTTATGCCATGCATCGAGTAGGGTTTCTTATTGTCAACCAGTCATCCTTCCACCAAAGAAGTGTGATGAACTGATGATGCCCACACTTGACCACTCATCTGTGTGATTTTTCTCCATCTCTAGCATAGGGATGGCAACGGGTTGGCTCGGGGCGGATAGTGCATATCCGTTACCCTACCCAAAATAGTTCGGTTTTTACTCATACTCACATAAGAAATGGGCCGAAAATCAAAACTATGTCTATTTCCGCTCGGGTTCTACGGTTATCCATGGTGAAATAAATATGCATGTATGTTAATATTCACACATATTCTCACGTTACATAAGATGAAAAGTACGACAAATATTTCTTTAGGATGAAGAAAATTAATTAAAGCAACACAATTTCATGAAAATATTATATTTATATGCTAAATATAAAATATGTTATAGAAAAATAATGATGATTTTTAGACAAATTACATGTACATGTGTATAATCGGGCGAGTTCGGGTTGGATAGTGAGAAAATCATGTCCACCCATTACCCTCAATATTCGGGTTCGGGTTTTACCCGTACCCAATAAAAGTACTTCGTGTTCGGGTTTTAATCTACCTGATAAGGTCGGATTCAGGCGGATATTCACGTTTACAGATATTTTTGCCATCCCAACTCTAGCGTCATCTTTTAGTTGAGGATATGAAAATTATTAGTTTTGGCAACAAGGAGGTGCAAATTCGAGGAGGGTGCAAGTTCAGGGGTAAATTGCAAGGGGGTACAAATTGGTGGAGGGTGTAAGTGGATGGGTAAATTGTTGTTTGGATGAAAAAGTAGGAGGGTGCAAATATATATTTTATTTTTCCAGGGTATTAGCTTGCATTAAACAAGAATAGATAGTTACATTATACCCACCTCCCGAAAGAGCCAGACACAAAAATCAAACCCAGAACAACGATTGGGAAACAAAGAAAGGGCCTTCTTAACCACCAAATGGAACCCCGCAGATTGGGAGATGCTAACCACCGGCAACGTATCTCCTCATAAACCACCCCGCCACGAACATCAACCACCACCCCTGCATTCACTTTATCAAGCACAACCTGCAGTTCATGGCCCAATGCTAGACACCACTGAATCGCTTCACGAATCCCCAGAAGTTTCGCCATTCCCGGATCATCAACTCCATCAAACAACAACCCTCTGGCGAGCACCACCGCACCTGTTTCATCCCACAGAACAAGCCAGAGGCCGCATGAGATCATGCGCAAACTGTCGCATCAACATAGCACACCACACCTTCCGCGACATTGCCGATATTACCACCTGGCAGGTTCATCTCCATCGGACCTACCTCCCTCGGGTTCTCGTCCTCCACACTGCCTCTTGACTCCCATTCTGAAACCTTGGCGTGGAATTGCCTACTTAAGGCCGCAAATAACATCTGCACACCTACAAAAGTAGACAAATTCTTGCTCTTCCATATCCGCTAAAGTAAACAAACAATGCGCACAATCCGACCCGAAGAATCATTCCGCTCAATGAAGCGCCTAAGAAAAACAGCCAGGTTCAGTCTCGGGATATCAACCATAGCCTGACCCAAACCTGCCGATTTCCATAGCGCCACAGCGACCGGACATTCCAGGAACAGGTGTTCGAGAGTTTCCTCCTCTGCCCAGTAGACCGGACATCTAGCAAAAACTGGAATGTCCCGACTTCGGAGACCCTCCATGGTGGGGACCATCCTATTGAGCACTTGCCATAGAAAAAACCTCAACTTAGGTTGAATCGGGAAAGCCCAGACTTTCCTCCATAAAGCCATGTCAACCAGCTGCGCCTCATCTTTTCCACGCGATCATTTGCGATCTAACATATCTGCTAACAGATAGCCTGAATTGACTGAATAAATCCCATTAGGTTCTCGGAACTAGATAATTTTATCCCGCCTCGGCACCCGGGGAAGCGGAATCGCCCAAATTGCTCGACAAGTCCTCTCAGAAAAATTACCTCGCAGACAATCCTTACACCATGTCCCACTATCTAAGTTTATCAAATTAGAAACTAGGGCCTCACCCAAAGGAGCCGCACCGAGAGCCATTTTGGGAGCCTCCGGATGGATGCGAGGGAACCACTAAGTCTATATAATTTGGACGGATTCTCCATTACCGACCTGCCAACAAAGCCCTGCCCTCAGGAGTTAGCAGCCATGCAACACACTCCTCCAACCCCAAGAGGGCCGCGAACCAGCCTTGCCCGTGAGAATCGAACCATTATGAAAGTATTTTCCCCTGTAGACGCACGCTAAGAGTGAATCCGGATCCATCAGAATCCGCCACGCAACTTTAGCCAGAAGCACCTGGTTGAAAAGTTCAAAATGTCGCAACCCAAGACCACCCTCATGCTTACTCTGATAGAGCCTCCGCCATGACATCCACGACATATTGGATCTACCCTCTGAATAACCTTACCAAAATTGGGCCATGTGCTTGTACAGCCGCCGGCATAACGTGAACGACAACTTAAAATAAGCCATCACATGGGCCGGCAATGCCGATGCCACCGATTTAAGAAGGGTCTCCTTTACTACCCAAGATATAGAAGTTGTAGTTTCCACCCCTGCAACCGACTGAGCAAAGCCTCTTCAATGTACCGAAAGGTTTCCGATTTTGATCCTGCAATCAAAATTGGTAACCCCAGGTACTTATCATGTACACCAATCACACCGACCCCCAGCCTCTCCGCCATCTCATGAATATCCTCATTGGATATATTACGACTAAAAAAAACGCCGACTTCTGCAAATTCACCTTCTGTCCGCAGAGCTCTTCATACTCCCTCAAAACCGCAATGAGCGCAGAACACTCATTCTGCGATCCACGAAGAAACAAGTAAGAATCATCAGCAAAGAGAAGGTGGGACACGCGTGGTGCCATGGGATTCACCCTGACCCCTGCAATCGTTTATTCGCAATAGCCTGTCTGAGGAGAGTCGCAAGACCCTAAGTACACAACACGAAAAGCAAGGGTGACAACGGATCTCCCTGGCGCAGCCCTCTAGACGGCTTAAAATACCCATGTGGTTTACCATTCATCATGACTGAGAATGACGGAGTCGAAATGCACTCCTCGATCCACCTGATCCAAGTTTCCCCAAATCCCAATTTTTTCAAGACGCTAGTAAGAAAGCCCATTCAACCCTGTCATAGGCCTTTTCCATGTCAACCTTAAGGGCCATATACCCTTTCTTCCCTTTAGTCATGATATTGAGATAGTGCATGATCTCGTGCCCAATAAGAATATTATTGACGATCTAACGGCCTTTAGTGAATGCGTTCAGCTCCGGAGACACGATCCGCGTTAACTGAACAACCATTCGATTCGCCATGATCTTCGAAATAATCTTATAGACAAATTGCCTCATATTCTCTACCACATCCACTTTAGGGATCAAGGTTAACCACGTATGGTTAAAACTACGCAGACTACGACCATTACGAAAAATGCACTAACTGCAGCGATCACCGAATTCCCCACAATCCCCCAAAACGATTTGAAGAACTTCCATGTAAACCCATCCACGCCCGGTGCCTGAGTAGATCCCATGGAAAAGACTGTACGTTTGATCTCCTCCAGAGTGACCAATGCAGTAAGCTCCTGATTCATGGCTTCCGAAACCAGTCTTTCCAAAGGCAACTGGTCAACCCGCCCCTCCAGATTTCACCGATTAATCTCCGAGGAGAAAAGACGAGAGTAGAAACCCTCCGCAACCTCCCTTTATCACCATCCTCTGTCGTCCACGTCCCATCGTTCCTCTGTAATCTCTCCACATAATTCTTCTTACGCGGGGTTCGCGTCACTGCATGAAAATACAAAGAATTGCAGTCCACCGCACTCTTTATTTTTGCTGCTAAAATAGCTCTTCCTCCGCCCATTTGCGGGTAAGATCAGCCTTCAAAGAGTTAATCTAGTCCCAGTCCATTGGTTTGACTGTAAAAATACCCTAGAGATAGACATTTTTAATGGTACTTGATCACATGAATCTTATAATTGTTGAAAAATGGATTTGATTGACAATTGGACCGAATTGGGCCAAATAAGTAATTTACCTAACGTATAAATTTGTTTTACGCAGTAAACAAAATTGTTGCGTGAGATGTAAAAGTGTGTTACGTTCTTTTTTTAAAAAGACACGAGAGTGTGAAATTTTTATATATGGATGTCATCTTGTACAATAGAGGTAATCCAATTTTAAGGAATTTTTTTAATAATGAACCAAATTTGCGAAAAAGCATATATTTGATCCATTATTCATAAGTAATGAAAATTTTATCAACACATAATTAAATTATTTACTATTACATAACTAATAAATTAAAATATCTATCACATTTCAAAGATATATTTTTCTCCCACTCTTTCCTCCACTTTCTTCCATTAAACAAAATTTTCCTTCCCCTCAAAATTTTTGTCCTTTCCTTTTCCCTCCCCTCCAACTCAAGGTGGCAACAATCCTCCGCAAATGACAAGAGAAACATCATATGGTAAAGAAAGCTTGAAGCATCATTTGCCAAGGCTAAGAATATATAGATTGAATCTCCTATAAAAAATTTCATAATATGAAGAAAGGGGGTAAGGGTTGTCGTGGTCGAGGGAAGAGATGAAGATCTTAACACTGAATACCAGAGGGCTTTTTGCAGAAAGTAAGTATTTGCTTTGCTATAAAACTAATAGGGTTAGTTTCACTAGGAAGCCCAAACTATAAAAAAACATGTAATTTGTGTCATAAACTATTCAAAATGACAATCGTGTCCCCTCGTTTGATACTTTTGTGCCATTTGTGTCCCGATATTTTTATTGACCATTAAAGATAACAGTTGACCAAATGAGAGTCAAAACAATTTTGACTTTTGCTGATGTGGGAAAAACGTGGAAGCCACGTAGATGCCACATCATTAACTCATTAAATAATTTTTTTAATTAAAAATTAAAATCAGGAGAAAAATACACGACTGGTTCTTCCTCTTCCTCTCCATCGAAAGCAACTGGCCTCCATCTTCCTCTCCAATTTGGGCGAGGGTTTCTCGATGGCACACAAGCCCATTCGAATCTGGAGACTCGGGCGAGATCTACCTCTCTCGCCACATCCAACATCGCCATCAACATCATCCCTGCGTGTTAAAGAGGATGGAAGGATGTAGAGAAAAAAAATCTAATTATCGGCACCCTTTTCCTGCATCTTCTGACCCACCTCTAGTTAGGGCGGATTCCCTG